GCAGATTGAAGGTATGCTTTTTTTTTTCCTTTTTTAAAAAAAACTTAAAAAACTAGATGTAGATTTCAGTTGTTATTATGGAAAATCATTGTGTAAATGAAATACTGTTTATAGCAAATCATTTTTTAAAAGTAAATCATTGTGTAAAGAAAATCATTTACATGCAGACTTCTGTGATTATGTGTGATAATTGTTTTTATGAAAACAATGTTTATGGCACAAATTAGAGCTCAAAACATAGTCTTTTACTGATGACAGAAATTAGAGCTCAAAACATAGTCTTTTACTGATGAATGAGAAGCAGAGAGTGTGACTAAGGACCATGTAATCAATATTTTGAACTGTAAACTTACAGGAGCAAGCAAATGTACATACAGTATTAGTTCCCCAAACCTAATCCGTCAGCTCTGCTTCTTGTTTCCCCAAGAAAATGAAAAACCCTCTTCCTTTTCTCCCTCTAAAAATCAGTTAGGGCTTCTTCACAAATTCTTCACAAATTTAGGGCTTTTTCTCAAACAACATCCCCAATCAAAGAGAAAAACCCTCTTCAAACTATCCCAAATCAGTATCCCATTTTCCTTTTCTCTCTATAACAATCAGTTAAGGCGTCTTCCATTAGGGTTTGTGAAGCTTCTTCCTTCTTCTCTCTATAAACCCTAATGGCAAGCTTCTTCGTTCTTCTCTCTGTAAACCCTAAAGGCAGGGTTTGTGAAGCTTCTTCCTTTTTATTCCTTCTTCTCTCTATAAACCCTAATGGCAGGGTTTGTGAAGCTTCTTCGTTCTTCTATCTGCAAACCCTGATGGCAGGGTTTGTGAAGCTTCTCCTTTCTTCTCTCTTTAAACCCTTCTCTCTATAAACCCTAATGGGAGCCAAATCCTATTTTCTTCTCTTCCTTCTTCCTTCTTCGTTCTTCCTTCTTCCTTCTTCTCTCTCTAAACCGTAAACACAGAGATGTAAAACCCAAATTTGTACGAGCCTCTTTTTAATTAATGAAAGTTATAAAACTTTAACCATAGTTATGGAGTGACCATAGTTACCATACTACAGTTAAATTATTGTAATGAGAAAACAAAAATCGTGTTTTTTTTTACCAACTAAGTAACTAAGTAGGTGTGATGTTTAATAATAAATTTATATAAGTATATTTGTCACCATACCATAGTTAAAATATTTAATGAATAAATTTATATAGTAAATTTGTTTTTGGTATATGATAAATAGGTGACGTTTAATAATCAATTTATATAAGTATATTTGTCACCATACCATAGTTAAAATATTTAATGAATAAATTTATATAGTAAATTTGTTTTCGGTATATGATAAATAGGTGTGATGTTTCTTAAAGTATTTAATAGGTAGATTTATATGGTACATTTTTTTGGGTATATAGTAGTTAATTATATATTTAATATTGGATGATTGGATAAGAGTCACGAGACATCTAAATTAATAGACTTAATTATATTAGTTTAATAGAGTTTTTATGGATGAATTAGTTATCGATGGCATTGACATAATTTTTATTTTTTAGAATTTCAAATTTTCTAATATTATAAACTTATCCGATTTTTTGACTACAATTTTTTTAGCCTAATCCGATATATTAGTGATATCTTTATATGAAGTATTTTTGCCGATCCGTATTTTTTACCCGATTTTTTCATTCGATTTTTTTAAATAAAAACAATTTGTTTCCGATTTTATGGTGAGCCGATTTATTGATAGTACCCGACTTGCTAACTATAGTGATACCCCTGAAATGAGATGGTGATGTCATCAAATCACAAGAGCAAGGATGTGAATGAAGTATACTAGAGGTAAAAAAAAAAAGTGCATAGTCTTCAATAAAAGCATTACTAATATTTGTCTCCCTGGACTTGAAACCCGCTGAAATAAAAACTTTCAAAGTGCCAAAATAAGGAAGTGGGGTACACTGAAGATTGAAAGAAATACATACTGCATCCCTAGATAAGAAATCCGCAGCAATAAAAACATTATTATTGAACCGGTCATAACATATGGAAGCAACCACAGTCTTACAAAACATTAGCTTGTTTTCTTTATGAAAATTCTTTCTTTCTATAAACAACAAAAGTATGCTAGGCCAGGATACCGTTTAGAGACTCTGTTAATCTCTTTAGAAGTCCGATTGGGTAATCAACAAAATTCAGACCATGGCCTCCAAATATTGAACCGACTTAGATGTGTTTGGCATAAGTTACTGTAATGGCTTGTACACACTATTATTCGTTTGTGATTGTTCAGCCAACTTGAATCTTGAGTGAAAGCAAACACGAATTGTATGAGCTAGTCTCTGTCCCCACATGTTCAAGACTAACTACCAAACATATCCGAGGGAATACGATAAGAGAATGTACACACAGCTAGTAATACAGAATAATAAAGCAAAACATCGATATTCAAATACTAACACTGATGACCAATAACTTTATCAAAAAAGGAAAAAAAACTGATGACCAATAATAAAAGGTGGAAAGTACATTTAGAAGCCATTTCATTGATAATTAATTACTCTATGAACATAATTTACAACAGAAGGATGGGCATGAATGGAGGGTTAACATTTGGATCATTTTCACCTGTTTTTTAATGGACAAGAGATCAATGAAAGACTACCTGTCTGCAAATCATTTGTGTTAGAAACTTACAATAATCAGAACAGTTATATAAACTAGATGGAGCATTTAGTAACTTATCCACAAACTTAGCAAAACGTATACTTTTGTGGACACACATTCTAGGTTTCATCTTACAAGAGCAAATAAGGGCCTGCAATGGATCAAAAGATACCAAAAAAGCTTCGATTTCATTTCTCTTAGGAGACCTTTTGTTTGATTTGCCCTGGCCAGAATCAGCTGCTTTCCGTGCACTCTTTATAACTCGTTTCTTTTCTCCCTTTCAGATTTGGACTTCGAAGGGGAAGCATCAATAATGGATACTAGAACATAATTACATTTCTTTATAATGAAAAGGTATAAAGCGAATTTACTCAAGGATCAAGAACTATGCTCAGTAAACAAACATACATTTAAACAGCCCCATAACGAAAATAGTTTCTACATAGTCAAGAACTAAGCATACAACAATAGAGAGAGAGAGGGAGAGGGAGAGATAAATTTCTCCATGAGCCAGTATAAACCACAAATATGCAGAACTAACACAACTGAAACATCTAGTGATAAAAACGTCAAGAGAAAGAGAAAGCAGAGGAAACAAGTACTCATGAACTTAGAACAATAATATTGGTTTGAAATGATAGGAAGACATACCCAATCAGCTTGGGATGTCAATGTGTGCCTCCAGAATGGTGTAAGGATATACTTTTGCTTGGGAATACCCTTTGATAGCATCAAAACTTCCAAACTGCATAGAGAGAGAGAAAGAGAGAGAGGCGGGGGGCAGGGTGAGGTTAGAATGGAGTCAGCAGAGAGAGAGAGAGAGAGGTTAGGGAAGGGAGAGTAGAGAGAGGCTTGGCATGGACGGGGCAGTAGGGCTTTGGCCATCGGAACCAGCGATTCGGCGAACAACGATATATTGCCAAACCAAAGATCGGGGAAAAAAATGCCCAGCTAAAATCAGATGTAAAAAATCGGGAATGGATGTCGAGTAAGATTAGGGTGGCATTTGATAACTTTCACTACAATCTCCCTAAGAATCACCCATGTTGCTGACTTTCTTGGATTTGGGATGCAGGTGAAAATTGGTAGGATGACCGCTGGAAACCCTGTTTGGTAAACTATGGTACTGATAATTTCACTTATTTGGCAATGGAAAAGATGACTGCCTACAATATTGTTCATTATGTATTTCATTGATATGATGTACAAACTTCCTTCCATTCATCCAATATAATACCAAACATGTAAATATATTCAAGGAATACTTTATTGTGCTTGGAGATTGCATAAAAGTATGAACCCCCTCTGATGTTACCAATACTATTTACATAAATAAGAAACAAAATTGATTTTATTAATATCAAAATTTCACTCAATGCACAGGTAGCCTTCAAGAGCAAACATATTCCAGTTATTTAAGAAATAGATATTTAAAATTTCAAAGCTAACCATTCCATTTTGCCACCACACCAGTGTATTACAAAAGATAAGTTTGTCTCCTTTGGAATAGTAACATGAAAGCAATCACTTGAATAGAGAGATAATGAGAGAGAGAGAGAGGTACAATTTGATCATGTTTCTGAGATTTAATTTGTGTAGATTACACTAGAAATATAGTTTATTGTGTACAAAGTTGTTGTAGGGCCTAAAGCAGCATAGAAGCACTCCAAAGCCTAAATATCACAAATGTAATAAAACATACTTGAGGTTACTTTCCTGTTTTCCAAGCTACAGGGATTTAAAGTAATTGATAGTTAAAAGAACATTAAAAGAAAAAATGCATTTTCAGTGTTTCAGTGTATTCTAGGTATCATTGCATTACAAATACTTGAAACAACAACATTCATAAGAAATATGCAATATTCTATACAAATTGCAAAATTTCACAAAGAAAATCAATTATCCGAATTGAAGTGTGAAGCTCCAAATTACCTGACCAACATTTCCCCAATATGTTGGTGGTGCAACACTCTTTAGGGTCTCATTTTCTTTACTGACGAAAATCACAAAATTTTCCCAATTCTACTGTGAGGTAGGTTTCATGTCCTATTTCATTCCAGATTTGTGCACGAGGATGAAAGATGCATTCCAATTCACACTATGGACAACAAACTATTATAACATCTAGCCATTTATTTTTCAAATTAATAACCTCTACCCAATGAAAGAAAACACACTCAATAAGCATATGAAATATGCAAATAAATTTGCTAAAATAAATACTCAAATTTTTTAACTGATGAACTCACAAGAACGGCAAGAATGAAGCAGAACCACAGTAAACAGTTAACAATTTCTCAAAAAACAAAAACACAAGAGCAAGCCAGGGTTTCTGTAGGGTTTATCAAAATACCTTTCCACGAGGAGAATAAAGCCTCAATAAGGCAAATAAATTTGCAAATTTTTTACGGATGAACTCACGAGAATGGCAAGAATGAAGTATTACTACGGCAAGAATGAAGTGGAACCACAGTAACAGTTAACAATTTCTCAAAAAACAAAAGAAAGCCAGGGTTTCATCAAAATACCTTACCACAAGGAGAATAAAGCCTCAATAAACAGTAGAAAAATGTGAAGGTACTCACTAATTTTCGATTGATCGTGGCTACAGAGGTGACAGGGCAAAGAGACAACGCAGTTGATCGAGCGGCTAGCGGGCACTCCCAGATGCTAAGCGGGTGAAGGTACTCGGGTTTGTTTTAGGGTCTAGTAATGATGTAATTTTCACTGAGAGCACCCATACAAGGGAACAGTGCCCTGGAAAAAGTTGTGTTCCTACTTTCCCCGTTTTCTTCTTCCCAAACGGTTGGAAACTACACGAATGGGGAAAGTGGGGTACTTCCTGCTCTTTATCAAACGCCGCCTGCTGTTTCATGTGGGCTAGACCGCATTTCTAACTATGCGTCCCAGAAAAGTGTAAACGATGGATGGAAGTAGGTTTTACAATGAAAACTAACCGTCTAAATGTTTTATTACTAGAATTATTATTTTTATTTTTTAAAATTTGTTTATTTTTCATATTCATGATCTCCATTGTTAGAGATTACAAGTCCTTAAAATTTGTTTTAAAATCTAGAGATTACATATTACATGTTACATGTTAGATATTACATGTTACATATTACATGTAATTAAAAACATATTAGATGTTACATATTATATATTATATATTACATATTACATATTAATATGTAACCTCTACATATGTAGTATGTAATATGTAATATGTAGAGGTTACATATTACATGTAATATTATATATAATATGTAGTATGTAGTATGTAATATGTAATATGTAGTATGTAATATATAGTATATAAATACTACATACATATTACATATTACATACGTAATACGTATGTAATATATGTAATATTACATACATCTTATGTAATATCTATGTAATATTACATATATTACACTTTATGTCAATAAGTGAAGATGAAAGGCACCAAAATGAAGATGATAGTGCAGGAGTGCTTCCATCACTCAATTAATTCTAAGGCCGGTACGACTCCATTATCCTAGGACACGTGGCCAAATACTTTTATCCTATAGCTAAAATCTTGCCAACAGAATCTACCTTTCCACTTAGCAAGCACCACCAACATTTACCTTTCCACGTGGTGAGCACCACCGACATCCACGTTCAAGAAAAGCGGAATATATGAAATCTGAAGTCTGAGACTATAAATAAGGGACCTCTCCTTAGAAGAAGGCATCTCTCATAATTTACTTGAGTTTGTTTGGCTTTCTTTCCTCTTTATACTATCTCTCTCTCTAAAAGATTGTAAAGTTTTAGAGTGTGCCGGTGTGCTGTGTGCTAAAAAGAGTTTTTATGCAAGTATTTTATTCCAAGATTGTAACTTGTATTTTGTACTTTTTATAATTAGTTGATTGATGTTTTGTCTCTGATTTTAATTTTATTTGTTTCATTTTATGTTATTTTGATTCCGCTTAACGTACTCTTGATATGGTATCAGAGCCTTTCTGATCCTATCTTATTCAACATTTTTTTATCAGAACTTTGTCCAAGTCCTAATAAAATACTGTTCATCACAGTCGTAATAGTAATAAGCTATCATAAGTCGCTAAAGTCGTGAACCGTGTCGAAGACAGACTATTAATTCATTGACTCGGTTGACTCATGTGCGTAATTACATTATTGACTCGATAGCAGGATTTTTTAGACTTGGTTCTCAGAGGTCTGATACTGAAGCCAGTTCATCTGGTAGGTCAATTAGGGATTCTAAAGAAATTGCTATTGCCAACATAGAAAAGGACTTAAACAACTGGAATATTCTTAAGGTCTTTACTTCTGAAATATACATTAAGGGAACTTTTGAATTCATTAGTGATTATGCAATTAAAATTGAAAAAGAAACTAAATCTGTCTTAAATGCTGAGACCACCATAAATTTGTTAAACAAAGACCACATTGAAGAATTTAGAAGAAGAAAATATAATTATCTATACATTGGTCTTGTTCAAGTTGGTATTAGACCCTTAAATAGGGCTGGGCTTCAAACTGCTATCCTCTTATGTTTAAGATATAGTATGCATAGACGGTTTATGGACTCCTTATTATGAGCTATTGAATCTAGTCTCAATGAGGGAACAGTTTATTTTAACTGCTTCCCAGGATTCTCTATTTCCTTAACTGACCCTCATATTTTGAAAGTCCTTACTCTCAACCTCTTAACCAATGGTTTCGACATGGATGCTGGGTCACCAAATATAACGGTTACCTATAGTGTCTGCTATAAGGTTATGACCACTATCTGTCCCAATGTTAGAAGAATTGACTCTAAGGGTCAGACTACCCTTTTTCAGACTAATGTTGAAAAATATAATTTAATCATCCCTAGAACTATTTCATGGGATCAGGTGAATCTACCTGAAAGATGGACCTTACCCGGTGCTGTCCCTCCTAAGCCTGTACAAAATCAGGAAATCAGCCAAATAACCCAGTATGTTGAAAGAAAGGTAGAAATTCAATTCTCTCATCTCCTTAGAACTTTCCTTAATCAAAATAGGAACCCTATACAGCCTCCAAGAATGTCCTTCAGTTCTGAATCATCTAAGAAGCCTGAACCCCCTAGAATCTCTTTCTTCTCTGTGCCACAGACAAAAGTTGAAAAAGAGAAGGGTCATAATAGTAAAGATGTAGTCATAGAAGGGCTTGATCAGCTTAAAAATCAACAAGTTGTCCAACCGATCTATAAGGTAGAAAATCCTTCAACATAGAATGATAAATATTCTGATGGCTCCCATGGACCAACTTTTTCTAACATGGGATACAATGGGATACAGTTCTAATATCTCTGAAGGATCTGTTAATATGCTTGAAGTTGAAAATTTTGAAATTAACTAACAAACTCTTAAGGCAAGATTTTTACTCAGAAGAAAATAGGGAAATAAAAGAATGGTTTCTTAAACATAGCAAACCCCTTAAGAAATTCTTTGATGATGAATATATCAGGACCATGATAAAAAACAAAATCAATATAAAGTTCTTTACCTGGTTGAAATATTATATCATATATTACGTACATATTATGTATTATATATGTAATATATGTATGTATGTATGCAGTATGACATATATATATATGTATGTAGTATGTAATATGTATGTAATATATGTATTGCATATATAATATATATGTAATATGTAGTATGTAATATTTAGTATGTAGTATGTAATATGTAGTATGTAATATGTAATCTGTAGTATGTAGTATGTAATATGTAGTATGTAGTATGTAATATGTAATCTGTAGTATGTAGTATGTAATATGTAGTATGTAGTATGTAGTATGTAATATGT